TCTTGTGCACACTGACATATGCGGTCCAATGAAGGTCACTTCCATTGGTGGAGCTAAGTATATTTTGCAATTTATTGACGATAGCTCTAGATGGGGACAGGTCTACTTTTTAAAATCCAAATCTGATGTTTTTCAGGCGCTGCAGAACTTCGTTATTACGATGGAAAATCAAACTGGTAGAAAGATAAAAATCATCCAATCCGACAATGGAAAAAAATTTGTGAACGCCACTATTGACGAGTTCCTGAAACAGCGCGGAATCATCAGAAGATTAACCGTACCATACTGCCCTCAACAGAACGGTGTGGCCGAGAGGAGAAATCGTACTCTGGTAGAAATGGCTAGGTGTCTCTTGCTGCAGTCCGGCCTACCTCCATCCTTTTGGGCAGAAGCTGTAAATACCGCAAACTATATACGCAATCGATGCCCATCGAAATTGTTAGACGGAAGAACTCCATTTGAAGTGCTGTCAGAGAAAATTCCAGACGTCAGTCATTTCAGGGAATTCGGACAACGGGTATTCGTCCTGTGTAACAAACCTGGCATCGGAAAACTGGACTCACGCGGAGTCACTGGAATCTTCGTCGGGTACTCAGACTCTTCAAAAGGCTACAGAATATGAATCCCAGATAAAATGAAAATCATTGTGTCAAGAGACGTAAAGTTCTTGCATACCGAATCTCCCAAGGAAAACACATACGAAGATTTCTACCCCGGATCAGTTGAAAACAGCGAAGAAGTCGATATAAATAAAAGTCACGATCACGACATGATCGACGTAATATTGGAGCCATCCGAGAACTGTCAAAACGAAACCGTCGAAGAGAATATAGCCGAGGTACCTGCAGAACGCATCGAACCAGTCAATGGAGATGCAGTAGAAGAACCCCAAGAGAATCACGATGATCTACCTCACGACGCACAGGAAGTGATACGTCGAGCACCAGGCAGACCTAAAATTGTGAGGACTGGAGAAAGGGGAAGACCTTGTAAAGAATTCCATTATCATCATGCCGAAATTTCAGAAACACAATCAGCACATCTGTCAGAAATTCCAATGAGAGAAGCGATGTCTGGTTTAGAAGCCGACGAATGGCGACTAGCGATGGTCAAAGAAATAAGATCGATCATCAAAAACGATACTTGGAAATTAGTTGATCGAGTCGACGATCGACTAACCATCGAACCATCATCGGTACCCGGATGGTACTCAAAAACAAGCTCAGTCCCGACGGATCCATTCAGCAACGAAAGGCTCGATTAGTAGCCCAAGGATTTGCACAGAAACCAGGCGTACACTTCAACGAAACATTCGCTCCGGTAGCACGGATGGGATCGATTAGACTGATGATCAGCTCAGCTGCACGCTTTTGCATGAACATTCATCAGTTAGATGTCACCACGGCTTTCCTCAACGGATATCTGGAAGAAGACATTCTAGTGAACCCACCGAAAGAACTTATCGAACTTCTACAAATCCTCGCAGACTCGGACAAGGACGATGTCATCCGAAAGAAGGCAAACCAAATGCTCCATGAATTAAACACTGGCAATAAAGTCTGTAAGTTAAAAAAAGCGTTATACGGACTACGACAAGCCGGACGAAGCTGGTATCAAAGGCTCGACAAAGTCTTAAAGGAGTGCGGAGCAAACGCTACAAATGCCGACCCATGTCTGTATCACTTGGGACAAGGAGAGAACATCGTACTGATAGCTGTATACGTTGATGATATACTCATTGCATCACGTAACAAGAAAGAAATTGATCGGATCTCTTATTTTCTTTCGCAACAATTCAAGATAAAGAACCTTGGAGAAGTCAATCGGTGTCTTGGAATTGAATTCAACCGCGAAGGAGAAAAGATTACTCTAACTCAAAAAGGCTATATCTGCGAACTGCTCAGGCGCTTCGGAATGACTGACTGCAACCCAGTCAGCACTCCGTTCGACTCGAATGTAAAGCTAAAAAAGGGAGCAGAACCTACACCAGACGATCAAGTTTTGCCCTACCGTGAACTCGTAGGGAGTCTCACGTATCTTGCATCTTCTACTAGGCAGACATAGCCTTCTCGGCAAGCTATCTCGGGCAATTCAACAATTGCTTCGACGAAACACACTGGAAGGCCGCTAAAAGAGTTTTAAGATATCTGAAGGGAACCATGGGAGCAGGACTCGTCTACGGGCCAGACTCAAATCCACTCATCGGTTATACAGACTCGGATTGGGGAAACTATCACGTGGACCGACGTTCACATTCCGGATTCCTGTTCGTACTGAGCGGATGCCCTATCACTTGGGATGCGAAGAACCAAAAACTGTGGCACTGTCATCGTGTGAAGCTGAGTACATGGCACTCACCGAATGTACCAAAGAAGCCATATTCTTGCAGCGTTTCCTGAAGGAATTAGGGTTCAGCGATCTAAGTAACGTCACAATCTTCGGAGATAATCTGGGCGCGATCAAACTAGCGGAAAATCCCGTTTTTTACCAGCGAAGCAAGCATATCGACGTCAAGTACCACTATGTTCGAGACGCACTTCGCAACGAAAATCTAAACATCAAGCATGTCTCAACCATAGATATGGTGGCAGACATACTTACGAAGGGATTACCGAAAAGAAAACATTTGGAGTGCCTCAAGAAAGCTGGAATGCATCTATCACACTGCGAGTAGATCTTCGAGCGCGAATCGAGGGGGAGTGTTGGAACTCGCTTGAATTCGAGTGGACTAAGTTCCGACTCGCACTCGTGGAGCGGCGCTACATTCTGCAGTCAATCACTGCTATCTACTTCCTTTTTACTCTTCTCTGTGTGCTCTCGATTTCGCGGCGTGTCGCCGATATACTTGAGCTGTCTTTTTTGCAGTAAAGTCGTATTAAATCCTTATTGTGCATAAATCCTGTTGTTCTTTTCTGGCTCTTCCTTTGCGCTACGAAAGGCTCTGCCTCCTGTACCTCAATATATATATATATATACAGGGTGTCCCATTTTAATGCCCCACCCCAAATAACTTTCTTATTTTTAATTTTAGAAAAAGATGTTTCAGACAAAAGTTGTATGGTTTCAAGGGGGACATAAGGTGGTGTCATTAGTTTGACCTTGAAGATTCACATGAAGATTACGTGAAGGTCATTTTGAATTTCTTAAATGGAACACCCTATATATTTTTGCATATTCTTGTAGCTTATCTCGAGAGCTTTCCAAAACACTATAAATAAACATTTTTTCATCAAGTACTTTTCGAGTTATGAGGCTTGAAATCATTTCTTAATTTTACATAAACCATAAAATATCTTGTAAAATATTCATTTTTCGATTATCTTACCTTCATACTTTTATGTACAAAATAATGAGAGGAATCAATTGGTGTAAAGAAAACATACAGTTATTTTTAAGAAAAAATATGTAATTTGCAATTAACAATTTCATATTTTTTCTTAAAAACAACTGTATGTTTTCTTTACACCAATTGATTCCTCTCATTATTTTGTACATAAAAGTATGAAGGTAAGATAATCGAAAAATGAATATTTTACAAGATATTTTATGGTTTATGTAAAATTAAGAAATGATTTCAAGCCTCATAACTCAAAAAGTACTTGATGAAAAAATGTTTATTTATAGTGTTTTGGAAAGCTCTCGAGATAAGCTACAAGAATATGCAAAAATATATAGGGTGTTCCATTTAAGAAATTCAAAATGACCTTCACGTAATCTTCATGTGACTCTTCAAGGTCAAACTAATGACACCACCTTATGTCCCCCTTGAAACCATACAACTTTTGTCTGAAACATCTTTTTCTAAAATTAAAAATAAGAAAGTTATTTGGGGTGGGGCATTAAAATGGGACACCCTGTATATATATATATATATATATATATTTATATATATATATATTTAATTTTAATATATATATATATATATATATATATATATATGTATATATATATATATATTGTATTTATTCGAATATTAATTCATGCTTATTTGAAATATTATATTTTTTTTTACTAACACGATGGGTGTTAAGAAGTTTAAAATCTCGATACAGTTTTTCCATCGGAAGATACAATCCGAGCAGCCATTTACGCAGATACCTGTTCGGCGAATTAAGTTACGGAGCTAGATAACCCCTCGTCAAAGGGTGCATTCGTTAATGCAGGCAGCGCATTAACGAATGCACCCTTGACACTGCGTCTTTCATCTCATCTGGGGGCCTATTACGTATCTTGGGTGAATTTGTTCACTCTTCGCATTTTCATTTCACAGGAATTTACTCCCGGCATTACAGAATTAATAAGTGAAAATGTGAGATCACTAGATTTCCGTTAGAATCGGTCGACATGTCACTAGTATTATTACGTATGGTTATAACATACTACGTTTAATGATAAATGATAACATATTTGTTTGAAGATAATATAAGTGAAGGAAAATGAATTTTTCGGAAGATCAAAAAAGAATTTTCTTAAATTATATGAAAGAACATGCCGACTTTGGTAGAAGACGTTTGCGTTATGCAAGTGAAAATAAAAAGGTTATGAAAAGTTTGTTACAATGGATTTTTATTATGTTGAAATTATATGTTATAATTATTAAATAATATACAGGGTGTCTCATTTTAATTTCCCCAGGCAAATATTTCGGAAAATAATGAAAAATCGAAAAAATGTTTCAGACAAAAGTTGTATGGTTTCTAGGGAGACATAAGATGGTGCCATTGGTTTGACCTTGAAGAGTTATTTGAAGGTCACGTAAAGGTCACTTCAATTTTTTTAAATAGAACACTATATATTTTTAGAAATAATTTTAAGCCTCATAACTTGGAAAGTACTTAATGGAAACTAACTTAATTATAGTGTTTTGGAAAGCTCTCGAAATGAGCTACAAGTCCTTTCATGGGTCTTTTCAGTTTTGGGAACAAGAAAAGTCGCAGGGGGCCAAGTCCGGTGAATACGGTGGCTGAGGCATGGTTACGGTATTGACTTTGGCCAAAAAATCACGAACAAGCAACGACGTGTTTTTGGTCGAAATTCAGCAATTTTGGAACAAACTTCGCCGCCACACGTTGCATGCCCAAAACACCCGAAAAAATTGCATGGCATGAGCCAACCGATATGCCGACATCTTCAGCAACTTCTCTAATAGTGATTCGATGATTCTCCATAACAATTTTCTTCACTGCTTCGATGTTGTCATCGGTTGTTGACGTGCTGGGGCGTCCAGGGCGGGCATCATCATTAACATCTTCTCGACCTTCTGTGAAGAGCTTGTACCACTTGTAAACATTTTTTTTGCTCAGAGTAGACTCGCCAAATGTCGCAGTCAACATTTCAAGTACGTCAGAGCACTTAATTTTATTTTTCACACAAAATTTAATACAGATTCTTTGATCCATTTTTTTCGATAGCAAAAAATATATATATAATATATATATATATATATATATATATATATATATGTATGTATGCATGTATGTATGCATGTATGTATGCATGTATGTATGCATGTATGTATGCATGTATGTATGCATGTATGTATGCATGTATATATGCATGTATGTATGCATGTATGTATGCATGTATGTATGCATGTATGTATGCATGTATGTATGCATGTATGTATGCATGTATGTATGCATGTATGTATGCATGTATGTATATGTATAATGTGTATATTGTTCACAATATTCAAAGTAATTACATGGCTAAAATACATGGATAAAATTTTCTTCCACTTTTGCACTATATCAATTTCTTACATCTGTCCTGCTTGTATTTGTTTCAAATGTTTCCAATTGTTCGCATTCAATTGGAACAAATCTTATACGAACCGGATGAGAAGGACGAAGTACTAGAGCAGTTTTCATTTCGAGATCCTTTAAATAATCAACAGGTTCTAAATAAAAATTACACACCAAAGGAGCTATTATGGTCTTCATTTCCAACAAAGCGAATCGTTGTCCTATAATTCGAAATTGTATCAAAAATTATTGATAAAAAAAAGGAAAAATTAAATCACAAATAATTTACCTATACAATTCCGTAGTTGCGAATGGAAATAAGAATACTAGGATGCAGTTTTTCATTTCGAAGATCTCTTTAAATAATCAATACATCTAAATAAAAATACACAAAAGAGCTATATGTCTTCATTCAACAAAGGAATCGTTGTCTATAATTCGAAATTGTATCAAAAATTAAAAAAAAAAAAAAAAATACAAATAATTACTATACAATCGTAGTCCGCTAAATGAAATAAGAATAAGGATGACGCTTTGAATCTTTCGGCAAGAATCTATCTGGTCGAATACTTCTGGATTTGGCCAAAAATTAGGATCTCTGTGAACTCCATAGATATTAAGATGTACAGTCGTTCCAGCAGGAACCATATATGACTCTAAAAAAGATATAAGATTATATCTTATAAGATTAGATATGATTTAATAAAAATAATAATTCTATTGAAAAATAAAAAATGTACGTAATACTTAAATAATATGTACTTTAAAATATTAAAGTAATTAAACATTTATATATTTTATATTTAATAATATATGGTGTGATATGTTCAAAGATATATATGCAACAAAAAAGTAATTAATTACGTAATTTTATATCTTCCGCTGTCAATCGTGATATAAAAAACACACTAGGATATAAACGTAGTGTTTCTTTTAAACATCTATCTAAATATAATAAATTTTGCAATGAACTCTTAGTAAGTTTTCCTCCATTCTCTTGTATCACCGTATTGACTTCAATTCTAACGCGTTCCTGCATAATAATAGTTAAAATATATTAATAATATTCTGAATTTTATACACCTAAACACAAATAAATTATTAATAAATTTTAATAAATTCTTTGTATTTATTTTAGAAAGACAGGTATTTTAATTTTTCAATTTTTTTGAAAGGCCATTTTAATCTACGCACTAAAATATCTCAAAATCTATAAATTTAAGACAAAAATGTTTCAGACAAAAGTTGTATGGTTTTGAGAAGGCCATAATAGAGTATCATTGGTTTGACCTTGAAGAATTATTTGAAGGTCATATGAAGGTCACCTTTAATTTCTTAAATGAAACACTATATTTTTTATTTCATATTTTTGTAGCTGACTTAGAGAGCTTTCCAAAACACTATAAATTAGTTTTCATTAAATATTTTTCGAGTTATGAGGCTTGAAATCATTTCTTAATTTTACATAAACTGTAACATATCTTGTAAAATATTCATTTTTCGATTATCTTACCTTAATACTTTTATGCATAAAATAATGTGAAAAATCGATTGGTGTAAAGAAAAACATAATATATCAACAAAAAAGTACCTGAATATCTTTGTGTTCAGCTAGTAATAATAAAGCAAATGTTATACCCATCGCTGTAGTATCATGACCCTATAATCATTTTACATTATATGTGTTTAGATATGTAATGTGTAAATAAAAAATTTAAAAAATCTTACAAATACATACTGCAAACATAAAAGTATCAACTTGCTCTTTTATATCTAAATCAGTGAGAAGTCCTTTTTGAGACGCCGCTATTAAGAGATCCAACATAGCTAGTCGTTTTTTTTTAACTAAAAGTAAAAAAGCATAAACATATTAGCATTCTCATTTTTGCACGTGGTGACTTAATTGAATAACATTGTTATCGTTAAAAATTCAAATTTTATTACTATCCAGCAAACACAGAATATTGCCACACATTGCTGCAATGTTATAATTGCCGCAATATTGCTGTAATATTCTGTGTTTGCTGGGTAATAATGAACAAATTTTACAAACATATTGCATCATTGTCTGTAATTATATATATAATGATATACAGAGTCTTCAAAAAGTCGTGGAACGTTATTGTAGCGTTCCGGGACTTTTTGAAGACCTTGTTTATATATATAAATATATATATATATATATATATGATGAATAGTATGATTTATACAGCATGGTCCATTTTAGTAAGGCCATCTAATCCAAATATCTTTTCGAATTATGACGATGCAAAAAATATTTTTTATATAATGTAAATGGTCAAAAACCAATATTCGACAAAAGTTTTTTTTGTAAGGTCATTTTTTTCGGAATTTCCAAGGTCATTGATGTTTTTTTTGCATACAACTATATATTTTTATTGCATTGTGTAGATGATTAAAAAATATGTTCAGACATGTATAATAACATCACCTTGAAAATTTTACATAAAATTTATGTTGAGATCGTAGGCTTTGAGAGGTTTAAATCTATAAATGTGAAAAAATATTTTATTGCACTAATAATATTTATTTAGAAGACTTAATCATGAAATGTATATGGCAGCATTCACTTTCTTTTTAAGTTATTATCTTCGTAGATGTCCAAAGTGATATTCCTCTACGATAATATATTGATATGTGAAACGAGCAATAACTGATTATAATAATCTTTTGATTATTTCAGAATTAATATTAGCACGAGCTTTAACTTTGTACATTGGAATTGTTTCCCTTAAACAATCACTTTTATCACAAATGAATATCATATTAATCTTTTCTTGCGTTGAGTTATGCACAGTTAGTACACGTAGATATTCTGACAAATTAAAAATGAGAAAATATTTAAATCGTCATAGATCACCAGTATTGTAATAGTAAATATGTTTATTTTACATTTATAGGCTCTCGATTGTCATGTCTTGACCGAAGCCTGCGATCTTGATAGACATAAGTTGCACGTAAAACTTTAATTTTTGGAAATCGAGGTCATTTTTCGTCACGTTATTATGTATGTCTGAACATATTTATTGATCAGCTACACGATATAATAAAAAAAATATAGTTGTAAAAAACATCAATGACCTTGAAAACTCCAAAAAACATGATTTTGGAAAATATTCTTGCCGGATATCAGTCCTTCGAAACAATTTAAATTAGAACCTTTTTCTCTCTCTTTCTCTTGCGTACAGCAGAGAAATTTGTAGTAACATTGCTTGTTACAACATTGCACATTGCAGTATTGAAATATTAGAAATATTAGAAATATTGCAAAGACATTATTTTATAATAGACATTATTTACAATAGACATTATTTACAATAGACATTGCTTTATTTTAGTACTGTTGCAACAACATTTTAAAATATCGAAAATATGTAATAATAAGTGGTATGTGTTCCTTCGCTATGCGGCGAAACCAAATTTAATTAACACTTATTCAATTTTTCATTATGAAATGCATATAAAGCTTATACAGGCTGGTACTAATATTTATAAGATCCAAAGTATATTTCTTTTCTGTTATCAATTTAATTTCTGATTTAAAATAATTAAATTAATTTAAAATATTTTGGATTGGATTCAGAATATTAAACAGATTATTTGAAATTAGGGGGAGAGGGAGGGAGAGAGAAAGAAAGATGGATAAATAGTCTATCAGGGTGGTAGTCTATCAGGGAAAGATGGATAAATAGTCTAACAGGATGTCTCAAAAGTCTTGGAACGGTCGAATATTTCATAAACTATGCTTTAGAAAGAAATGTTTCAAACAAAAGTTGTATGGCTTGAAGGGGGCCATCAGATAGTGGCAATTTGACCTTAAAGAGTCATTTGAAGAACTTTCACCGTCACGTGAAGGACCGTCAATTTTTTAAATGGAACTCTCCATTTATTATTGCATATTCATGTAGCTTATTTCGAGAGCTTTCCAAACACTATAACAAAGTATTTCTTCATTGAGTACTTTTCGAGTTATGAACCTTAAAATAATTTCTTAATTTTATATTAACCATAAAATATATAGTAAAATATTCATTTTTCGATTATCTTACCTTAATATTTTTGTACAAAATAATGAGAGGAATCAATTGGTGTAAAGAAAACATCCAGGGGACATAATCCTAGTAAGCAAAATGTTAGCAGTCTGCCAGTAGCATGCAAGCAGATTCAAACAGAATATTGCGGCAGATTGGCATCAACTGCGTCCGCATTAAGCTTGAATTCTGCTAGCAGAATCTGTCAGCATAAACCGACAGCAGATTGACAGCAGCAATCGAGCAGGATCTGCGCATGCAATTTGATGTTAGATTGTCAGCAGAAACCGAGCAGAATCTGCGCATGCAACCTGATGGCAAATTGACATCAGAAACTTCACAAGATTTGCGCTTTTATTAATGTTATATAAATGCAACAAAATTGATTATTACAGTGCTAAATTCTGCTATCAATTTGCTATCAGGGATTGTGTGCGCAGATCCTGCTCGATTTCTGCCGACAATCTGTTGTCAAATTGCGTCGCACAGATCCTGCTCAATTTCTGCCACTAATCTGCTATGATAATTTTAAACAAATCCTGTTCAGTTTCTGATCACAAATTATGTCAGCAGGTTTTGTAACATTTCTGCTGACATTCTGTTATCATTATTTGATATAACAAATTTTTTATACAATCTGCAATCATACTGTCGACAAAAATTTGTAGCAGAAATTGTCAAAATCTGTTTGAACAGACTTTGCTGACTGGGATTGTTTAAAAGAAAAAATATGTAATTTGCAATTAACAACTGCATTTTTTTAAAAAAACAACTATGCGTTTTCTTTATACCAATTGATTTCTCTCTTTTGTACATAAAAGTATTAAGATAAAATAATCGAAAAATGAATATTTTACAAGATATTTTACGATTTATGTAAAATTAAAAAATGACTTTAAGCCTCATAACTCGGAAAGTATTTAATGAAAACTAACTTAATTATAGTGTTTTGGAAAGCTCTCGAAATCGGCAAAAATATGCAATAAAAAATATAGTGTTCCGTTTAAGGAATTGAAGGTGTCCTTTATGTGACTTTCAAATAATTCTTCAAGGTCAAACCAATGACATCTTATGATAGATATGGCCTTTTTTAAACCATATAACTTTTGTCTGAAACATTTCTTTCTAAAGTGCATAGTTTATAAAATATTCGACCGTTCCGAGACTTTTGGGACACCCTGTATATTGCGTATATTAAAGTATTCTTATTTCCGAGTGTATATAAGATGGTTGTGTATAGATTATTGAGATAAACATTTAATATATAAAAACATAATAAACATTTTTTAAATGTTTTATAAATGGTTAATAAGCCTTTAAATAAACATATCTTAGAGTTCTAATTTGAAGAACATAGAAACATCATTTAATCAATTAATTATATTTTATAAGTTTTTATAAGCTTCCGAGATATCTATCTTAAACAAAAATATTCCATATGCAAATATTACTAGATGGTTGCAATGTTGTATTCTTTTCAACACATTGCAATGTAACCATAATGTTTCGTTGCACATTACATTGCAATGTATCCATGATGTTTCGTTATACATTACATTGCAATGTTACTATATGATTTCGTTACTATATGACTGTATATGTTACTATATGATTTCGTTGCAACATTAAAAGAATATCTTAATGTTGCCATAATTTTACAGTAATAATATAGCAAAGTTTGCAATATTGCAATGTTTCAAAAACAAAAGTATTCTGCAATGTTTTGCAACATTTCTGTGCTGTATGAGCTCTGATCATCTTACGTACTTCCGATCACTTCATCTATCTCCGGCTTTTTTCCACTTTCAAAGTTTTTTAAGTATTGACCATTGGTGCATTCGTGATAAAGCTTTCTTTCTGCAATAATCTACATAAATACATAATTAAATTTTTTAATGATATTTATTAAATAACACATTATAATAATAAAATGTTGATATTTATATGATATAAACTCATAAACATACTGCATGAAGATTATGAAATTTATTGTAATTTCATATAAAGGAGAGAATACTTGATATAACTTACTTTTTCCGTAAATCTATGTAATATTTTAAGGACCTTTTTTTGTCTCCTTCCTTGTGGTGACAACGCGAATAACAGATTATTATGAAGCCAATATCTTGAAAATCTAAATCGTAATTAGATAAGATTATATAATTTCAATAATGATGTAATTTTGTAAAAATATTTAAAACCATTATTTAAGGTCATGTAAAATTATAAAGAAAATTTTAAGCAAATATATGAAGAAAATATATAGTAAGATTAGAATTTTATATATGCATATATATCTAATAGTATTTATTATAATTCTTTATTAAGAGCACAAACTTGTAACAGTAGAACACGGACTTATTAACGAATGTAACTTATATAAAAAAAACTAAACTAAACTCTAGGAACAAAAATATTCGCTTTAAATCAGTGCTGCCACATAAAAAGAAATATACCATTATATTCTAACGGGGAGTAATCAATTGGTGTAAAGAAAACACAGTTGTTTTTAAAAAAAAATATGTAATTTGCAATTAATAATCACATATTTTTTCTCAAAAATAACTATGTTTTTTCTTTACACCAATCGATTTCTCACATTATTTTGTGCATAAATGTATTAAGGTAAGTTAATTGAAAAATGAATATTTTACTAGATATTTTATGGTTTATGTAAAATTAAGAAATTATTTCAAGTTTCATAACTTGAAAAATATTCAATGAAAAAATATTTTATTATAGAGTTTTGAAAAGCTCTCAAGATAAGCTATAAGAATATGTAATCAAAATAGAGGGTTCCGCTTAAGAAATTAAAGGTGGCCTTCATGTGACTTTCAAACAATTATCCAAGGTCAAACTAATGGCGTCATCATATGTCCCTTTTTTAGTCAATCAACTTTTGTCTAAAATGTTATAATACGAAAAAATTATTCGGGGTGATCGATTAAATTGGGACACCCTGTGTGTGTGTGTGTGTGTGTGTGTGTGTGTGTGTGTGTGTGTGTGTGTGTGTGTGTGTGTGTGTGTGTGTGTGTGTGTGTGTGTGTGTGTGTGTGTGTGTGTGTGTGTGTGTGTGTGTGTGTGTGTGTGTGTGTGTGTGTGTGTGTGTGTGTGTGTGTGTGTGTGTGTGTGTGTGTGTGTGTGTGTGTGTGTGTGTGTGTGTGTGTGTGTGTGTGTGTGTGTGTGTGTGTGTGTGTGTGTGTGTGTGTGTGTGTGTGTGTGTGTGTGTGTGTGTGTGTGTGTGTGTGTGTGTGTGTGTGTGTGGTGTGTGTGTGTGTGGTGTGTGTGTGTGTGTGTGTGTGTGGTGTGTGTGTGGTGTGTGTGTGTGGTGTGTGTGTGTGTGGTGGTGTGGTGTGTGTGTGTGTGGTGTGGTGTGGTGTGTGGTGTGTGGGGGGGGGGGGGGGGGGGGGGGGGGGGGGGGGGGGGGGGTGTGTGGGGGGTGTGTGTGTGTGTGTGTGTGTGTGTGGTGTGTGTGTGTGTGTGTGTGTGTGTGTGTGGTGTGTGTGTGTGTGTGTGTGTGTGTGTGTGTGTGTGTGTGTGTGTGTGTGTGTGTACATATGTTAAGAAGATGTGCAGAAAATTTTTTGAAGATTATATTTTTTTACAACTATACATTCTTTGATCAAAAATAATTAGACTTTATTGTGCAATTCAATTGCAAACTTTTTTATTTCGAAATTATATATATATATATATATATATATATATATATATAATGACATTGCCGTCTTGTCGCGCGTCCATCCGCCCCGACAATCTTGACGGGGCGCGAGCCGAGCGGCCGCGCCAGAAAAAGGATTGAGAGAATGATATCTAACTCTCTGGAGAGATGAGCGATTTTATTATATTTTGCGCCTTTATTAATTTTTTTTGTATTCTTTTTGTATTAACGGAATGTCGGGCAACTCGCTGGAGAACATCCGGAAGGCGAAAGACACGTCGATGGATTTCCAATCGCGACCTGCGACACGGCGCTCCCCGCCGGCGAGCGGAGAAGGAAATAGCGCCCGAAAAATCGAGCCACGGGGGAACATAGCCCCTCGCGTGTAAAGAAGGCTCGATCGGCACTATCCTCCAGAAGGGGAGGAGATGGGCCTCCACCGGACCATGAAACCGGGGCCCTCGACAGCAAAATTTAAATATTCGGGGCCGTTTCGCGCAGGGCGCAGGAATACCTTGCGTATCGCGAGGCGCAAGGATATCACGCGTGTTGCGGCGTGATTGGCCACGGAACTGCGCACCCCTGCGCAGGCATTGACGCAGCTATCGACTCACTCTGGTGCGGGCGCTCTTGGCGAAAAGTCGCTGCTAGTTCGATTGTCCCGTTGTCGTTTCTTTTGATGTGTCGCCCAGAGATAAAGGAGAGGACGAGGCCGAGGACTATCCCCTTGACAGAAAAGACGAGTCACGGTGAGGTTGCCCATCTTTTGTAAGTCACGTACGCGAATCGGTCCACCCGGCCGTTTTGCCGGGGATTGCCCGATTAGACACAGTACGATTAGACACAGCCAATCATATCGACCGATGCCTAGGGTAACCAGCACGATCAAGCACGATTAGCCAATCAAAGCCAGTTGTGTCCAATTGTACTGTGTCTAATCGGAGGTGTCTCGTTCTGCCGCCGTCGCCATTTTCGTGTTTTGCTGCCGCTCGGGCCCTGTGCCGAGCTGTCGATTTTTCGTGAATTCCGGGCGACCGGAGACAAGCGACCGAGGTATCGCGGACAGTCGTAACGTAGGCATTGATTGATAGGGTATCGTTCGTCTCTCTCCGGATGTCGGGGTGTTAACCACGCGTAGCTATCGACTGCCGAATATCGACCGCGTGCGCTAAAAATCGCGGAAAGCGTGTACGCCGCTCGTGTTGTCGTATCGCTGTCGTTGCCGCGTAAAACATCCTCGCAAGCGATCTACGAGCGACTTTCGTGTCTAATTGCGTTTCTGTCATCGATTATTAAGTGCGCGTGTGAACGTCTAATATTATATGTGTGAGAGTATTTGCGTCTTTGTCGCGCTCATTATGTCGGTGGGTAGCGCGTATTTTGTAGTAATTATCGTTTGTCGAGTGTGTTGCGGTGCGAAATACTCGCCGAAAAATCCAACTGTTATTGAAATTTGAGCTGCTTGCGCTGAGGAAAGAGGCGAAACCCCGGGAGAGAAAAATCTCCGGCCGCCGCCGGGTATCGAATATTAACCGTATCGCTCGTCCGTCACAGACGAGATCTATCTTCGCAAAATCAGTAATTATTCTTGCTCGATTGTTAATCACGCTGTCGAACCCTTATGCTGTCGATTAGAATAGCGAGCTGAGAAATTGCGAGGAAAAGACCGGAACTATAAGACGTCGATTTAGGTGCAGAAATTCCGATACATTTTGAGAAATATTATTCGGTCTGGCGAACTCCAGCCATAAAAACGGGCTCGAGTAAATAACAGAAATGCCTTAGCGTTCTCTTGGGTTGTCGATTTCGAACGAACATTCGATTTGATTGAATTATTATTATTACCACTATTGATTTGATCTATTATATATTTCGTTTTCTCATATTTTTGAATTTATTGTAAATCTTTGTTCTTACTCTGATTTGTTATTTAATTTTATTTTTATATTATTTTCCTATTAATAAATTTGTTATATTTCTTTATTAAGTACGCGTAATTTATTTGAGTGTTAGTCTCTCGTGATTGTCGATTTCCGTTTTGTCTGTCGAATTAGCGAAGTTTCGCATAATCAACTGACTTTTTCCAAGACCCTGCCTCTCTACCGTTAGGCGAGCTAGTCGGTCCGTGGCGAAGCAGGTTTTTCGAGTTCTTTGGCGTTTAGCGAAAATTGATGCGTGAAAGATCGCATCTGGCGCCCAACTTCGAGATATTGAGACGGCCTTTGCTTCGCCGCGGCTCGCGTGCGAACACCCTCTATCCCTGTTCCATCGAGCGCAAGTATATTATATTCGCTGTGTTTTTGACGGCGTTTTCGCTCCCCCTCGCACTCTCCTCTCCAACACCCTGAGGAGTGTTGCAAAAGTTAATAAAATTTAAATTGAAGAAACGTTGCAATATGTATACAGGGTGTCCGTAGATTTTCGACCAAAATGAAATAAATAAGTAGATTGGCTCGAATTAAGAAGGAATGACCTGTATTGTTTTGGGATTGTCGCAATAATTAACGAAATATTAAATAAAAAAGATCGGCCAATCTGCGTGAGTAAAAGCGCGCGGGGACGAGAGTCGTCCCACCGTAATCCGATACTACGAGCGCGGCGAAGTGGTGGGCGGGTCGCTCTCCGAGACATGATGGTGGTTTGCGATATATCGCAATACCGCGCCGAGAAATGACCCGTCCCCCCTTTTCGTGGCGAGAAAATGCGCTATCATTTCCACACCACCTTGCGGTAGATAGCATGGTGCGCTTTTTTTATAGTGGTTTCCCCCATAGGCCTATTCCACTCTCAATTTAAAAATTATTCAAATTGCCATTTACTATACGCTGAATATATCGTAAATGTAAAAAATTAATGGACAGTACCTTTACAAAAATTGATTCGTGGTTGAAAATCCCTCGATAAAATGTATTGCACACGTTGATAATGTGATACGATGATAAAATTCTTCAAGAATCCTTTCTTCATCTCGTACATGAAGACGCACTGCTGGACCGGTTATCCCGATATTATGCACGACACTCAGTTTCACATAATTATTGCACAACACGTAAAATTGTACGACCACTTGGTTTTCGTGCACGCCCGAGAAATGATTTCATGTAAATTGCGGCCGCGCGATGAGTATTTTCTCCCGCTAGCCCGTATGCCACAATCATGTCCGTATATTCCTGCGGAGTATACTTCATTTTCACTGGTAATTAACTGCGCGAACACAAGATTTTTATTAAAACGTCTTAGCTCTCGCACGCTGTTACCAGACTGCGTACGCCAGCAGCACGCAACTACAGTTGACAGCTGAGCGGACATGCGAGTGTAAGCGTACGTGTGAGTTCGACGCCTGCGCACTATGATTACACTCACATGTCCGCTCAGCTGTAGTTGCGTGCTGCTGGCGTACGCAGTCTGTTAACAGCGTGCAAGAGCTAAGACGCTTAGTAAAAATCTTATGTTCGCGCAGTTAATTACCAGTGAAAATGAAGTATACTCCGCAGGAATATACGGACATGATTGTGGCATACGGGCTAGCGGGAGAAAATACTCATCGCGCGGCCGCAATTTACATGAAATCATTTCTCGGGCGTGCACGAAAACCAAGTGGTCGTACAATTTTACGTGTTGTGCAATAATTATGTGAAACTGAGTGTCGTGCATAATATCGGGATAACCGGTCCAGCAGTGCGTCTTCGTGTACGTGATGAAGAAAGGATTCTTGAAGAATTTTATCATCGTATCACATTATCAACGTATGCAATACATTTTATCGAGGGATTTTCAACCACGAATCAATTTTTGTAAAGGTACTGTCCATTAATTTTTTACATTTACGATATATTCAGCGTATAGTAAATGGCATTTTGAATAATTTTTAAATTGAGAGTGGAATAGGCCTATGGGGGAAACCACTATAAAAAAAGCGCACCATGCTATCTACCGCAAGGTGGTGTGGAAATGATAGCGCATCATTTTCTCGCCACGAAAAGGGGGGACGGGTCATTTTTCGGCGCGGTATTGCGATATATCGCAAACCACCATCATGTCTCGGAGAGCGATCCGCCCACCGCTTCGCCGCGCTCGTAGTATCGGATTACGGTAGGACAACTCTCGTCGCCGCGCGCTTTTACTAACGTAGATTGGCCGATCTTTTTTATTTAATATTTCGTTAATTATTGCGACAATCCCAAAATAATACAGATCATTCCTTCTTAATTCGAGCCAATCTACTTATTTATTTTATTTTGGTCGAAAATCTACGGACACCCTGTATATACACTCCTCATAACAATTAGAGAATCACTTAAATTTCCTTAAAAAATTGACAAAATTCAGTCAGCTGTAACTTCGTTAAAAATAAACCAAATTTAAATTTAAAAAAAGGATTTTAAAGCTTGAAATCTCTACTTTCGAAAGCTTTTTTTAAGTTTCTGTAAGTTTGGTAATTTTTACATGTAGCGAACTGGACAAAATTATAAATTTTCTTCTCACTTTGCGGATCTGCTACGAGTATAAAAAAAATCTACGAAATTTTTCACCTTTCCAGTGTAAAAGCTTGAAGTTTTCTTAACAAAATTGTTTTTTAAAAATGTAACTACGATTTTTTTTTACTGAGTTATCGCCGATTAAATGAAAAATGAGCAAGTTGACTTTAATCGTTCATAACTCTGTTAAAAATAATCGTACCGCAATTTTAAAAAAAGATTATTGAAGCTGAAACTTTGCTCTATCAAACGGAATAATTACCAAAATTTTTACGAAAACATATAGACTGGTTACAAATGAATGAAAATAATGTAAAAATTACCGACTTTTTCTGTTTTCATTTTGACTTAAAAAACTTAAAAATGTATAGAGCAACAACAAAAAATTTGTTCTTCACGTTTTTTTCTACTTTTAAGTACCTTCAATTTGACAAAAAATCGGCGAATAGCTACAAGATATATATATATATATATATATATATATATATATATATATAAGTGCAATACGTTTTGATTGCTAATTTAAACATCGGTGTCTTACTTGTTTATATGATTCATCTAGATTATCATTAAATATATTTCTCTTGAAAGATATAGATATCACAATCATAATTTAAGGAATTGTACATCTGTAACAATTATTTATTATATCCATACAATCTCTGTATGTCTGTAAATTACCTATAAATAAACAGTTCGATTATTTGGTGAACCGCTTCTCGATATTGTTGTTGGAACATCCTGTGATCGTGCAGAGAGGTACCCATGGCAGTTTCTATAAATGCATTTGTTATGTAAGGCCGAAAACATAACCATAAAATATTATAGTTAAATATTTCATTGATAATTTTAACATTAGTATGAAAAACGAATATTATCAATCGTAGTTAATTTATTGTATCAGAATGTTTTACAAGGACAAATTTTGTTCTTCTCTTAAGCTATGATTATTTAAAATAAAAGACCTCGAACATAATTGTAAACAAAGTACAATAGGAATGTTAAAAATCTTACCGCATATCGCATTCAGCGTATGTTCACTAATAAATGGTACTAAATCCTTTATAATTGTGCCTTTTACATTTTTTAAAGACTTTGTCATGCGATCACTCTCTTTCACCAAAATATCAATAAATTGATTTAATATATTGAAATGAAATGCAGGTGTTAGTATCTTTCGTCGTGTTTGCCATTTGGTGCCTAAAATAAAATAATTTAAATTTTGCATGATAAAATATAATATATAATATATAAAATATAATACTCTATACGATTATGTAAGATTATTTTTCTTATAATTGTAACGAGCTTATTTCCGCGGATAGCGGCAGTCGTGGTGATCGGGTTCGGTTAGGCAGGCGTAAAAATAAATGTAACGCGGTTAATAAAACAAAAAGAAATATATTTAAAAAAAATAGAGTGTGTATAGGTACAGTTGCGTGCGTGTGCGAGTAATTATCGCAAAAGAAACTCGGCGCGTATATACAATTGCGTTCGTGTGTTGATATCGCAAAAAAACTCGACGCGTTCGAGATATGCCTCGGGCGTTCGTTCGTGGGCTCGCGGTCCGCGTTGGAAATGCGCTAATAAATGCAACGCGTTTAAGAGTGCTTGCAATCGGTGCTTATGGTTGATGTCGCACGGTCGGATGCACCACGAGTTCGTGCAGCGGATCGTGAAGATCGGGTGCCGATGCAACGCAGCGTTCGCGAACAATAACGATTTTAAACCGATCAGCTGTTTAATTGTCGGTCGCTGGCTGCGTGACGTCACGGCGCGTGCCGGCGTTTTTCGACCGCTTTTTCGTACGGTGCGGGATTGCTCGTAAAGCCGCGTATTTTCGTGGAAATGAATCGACGGGATTTCCCTTCGAGAAGACCGTGCTAGCGAGAACGTCCCGCCGGGGGTAGCTCTCCTCTCTACCTCCGGATGCACTGGTCGGAAAGGTGACAGAAGCTGGATTCGTGCGTCTGCCGAGAACTCCCGGAGAGATCGGGGAACGCCCCAATTTCTGGATGCACTTTTAGAAAGGATTGCGCCTATCTTCGCGAATCCTGAGAATTCCCAGGTGTGGCGAGGTACTCCCCACCGCTGATTTCGCTGCTTTTGGCGTCTTAGGTGAGCTTGCTCTGGCGGCTTGTGCGCTGAAGAAACTCGGGAAAGAGTGAACTTTCTTCGCTCGACAGGCCCTTTTTATACGGGACTAATTAGCCCGCGCCGGCGTAAAACAACGTTACCCCCGTCGAGCGGCCGCAAAACGTGACGGCTCCGTTCGTGGCGCGCGGTGGAGCCGGGCGCGAGGGGACTTAACCCGATCGTTCGGGTTTCGTCGGCCGTCTTCGGCGCGCTTCGTAATTTTGAAGCTCAAACGTACGGCTTGTTCGTTAATGTTTAAAAAATGTGGCGCTCAGCGCCCTGCCCTTGCCCGGCGGTTCTTATGCCGGGCGGCAGCTTCCAGCGATCGCCTGCTGGAGATCAGGGGTGCATGGGTGCATCGTTATATAATTGATTAATTTCACAGGCCTGCGAAATTTTAGGTTTGGTTAGTTACAAAGAGCAAATCTGATAGATTTTTTGCTGAAAACGAATTTAACCGCAGAATTTCTCCAGCACGGGGTTTTTCAGGTTTTTGAATAATTTGTGATTAAATAATTCAAAAATGTCTATTTTGGCAAATTTCATGAATTTATTATAAGGGAACTCTAATTTTTTTGGAACCTAATTTTTTGAAATATTTCTGCCAATGGTATCGTATAATACTAGTCTTTCAAAAAATTAGAATTTCCATTATAAATTCATGAAATTTGCTGAAACTGCCATTTTTGGACTATTTAACTATAAGTTAATTCGAAAACCTAACGTTCTGAGGAAATTCTGCGGTCAGATTCGTTCTTAATATCAAAAAATCTATCAGATTCACCTACTCTGCCTTTTGTAACCGACTTTTGAAGGCCTGTGTTCTTAAATGATTTTAATTATTTATATCTTTGAAATTTTTATTTCTGCTTTATATTGCTTCTTCATAATTTTTATATCTTCTTTTTATGATATTTATATAGTAATTGCAAACATTCAAATAAATTTTATATTATTATGTAATTAAAATTTTATTCAATTAGCAGGTACAAATAAATTAAAATTTGTTAAAGAAAAACTCTGTAATATAATGATATTTGATTTAATTCAATTTTTTTATTAAAAATGTATTATTTCTATGTAATTTATATATATATATATATATATATATATATATATGTATAAATATATATATATATATATATATATATATATATATATATATATATAGGATGGCTAATAACTTTTCGCAGTCCTGAAGTGTGAAGGTAGATTAGTTCAAATTAAGAAGGAAAGTCCTCTACTGTTTTGCGATATTTGAAATAATTAACGGAAAATTAATTAAAGAAGATAAGCCAATGCATGTGGCTAGAAGCACGCGTGTAATTTGCAATTAACAATTACATATTTTTTAAAAAAGGTTAAATGAAATTGTGTAATCGACCAAACTAGCCAGAAATAATTTATTCAATACGACGTTTCGACCATATGGTTGTGGTCCTTATCAAGTATACACTGGAATAGATATATAAGTTGCAAAAAATTATTATTCACATCTAATTTTTGGTTTGAACCGTAATACGCACAATTAATTTAGTTTAAACGTGAGATATTTTAAATATACATACAAATTAGCTGACGTATTGGTAATCAGAGTGTCGGCATAGATAATAATCTTGTACAAAGCGCAAGTCACATTAACAAAACTTTATTTTTAAAATTCAATTTTTAAGAACAATGAGTCCGTGTGGGACCTCGTCAAAGACTGAACGCGATCATAAGTAAACGGAACTACATGACCTTTATTATTTTGTCATAAATGTTGTTTAAGTTTTCTGTGTCTTTTTGTAAGTTGATTAGGTTATCAAATCTCTTTATGAAAAACATCTCAGCAATTTCTCTTTTGCGAACATACTTTTCGTTGTGTAGGATGTTCGGTTTTATCCAATCAAAATCATGGCCAGATTCTAATCTATGCTTGCTAATTACTGAATGATTAGTTTCATGTAATTTTATGTTATTACAGTGTTCTTTTATTCGCGTACGTAAATGTCTTTTTGTTTGTCCGTCTTTAAATAAAAAAGACTCAACTTTTTAAATAATCATGACCATAATGCTACAACTGACATGAATCTTACTCGTTCTGATGTGACTCGGTTTATCACAATACCATACGTTGAAAATGTTAGTCAAGATTTATACCGTCTCCTGCTTAATAGAGGCTTTAAGGTCGTGTATAAGATAATAAAAAAACTAAATAATTTAATTACACGGGGTAAAGATCGTTTACACGATAATGATAAAACAGGCGTTGTATATAAATTAAATTGCAAGGATTGTAATTTAGCATATATCGGACAAACAAAAAGACATTTACGTACGCGAATAAAAGAACACTGTAATAACATAAAATTACATGAAACTAATCATTCAGTAATTAGCAAGCATAGATTAGAATCTGGCCATGATTTTGATTGGATAAAACCGAACATCCTACACAACGAAAAATATGTTCGCAAAAGAGAAATTGCTGAGATGTTTTTCATAAAGAGATTTGATAACCTAATCAACTTACAAAAAGACACAGAAAACTTAAACAACATTTATGACAAAATAATAAAGGTCATGTAGTTCCGTTTACTTATGATCGCGTTCAGTCTTTGACGAGGTCCCACACGGACTCATTGTTCTTAAAAATTGAATTTTAAAAATAAAGTTTTGTTAATGTGACTTGCGCTTTGTACAAGATTATTATCTATGCCGACACTCTGATTATCAATACGTCAGCTAATTTGTATGTATATTTAAAATATCTCACGTTTAAACTAAATTAATTGTGCGTATTACGGTTCAAACCAAAAATTAGATGTGAATAATAATTTTTTGCAACTTATATATCTATTCCAGTGTATACTTGATAAGGACCACAATCATATGGTCGAAACGTCGTATTGAATAAATTATATTTCTGGCTAGTTTGGTCGACTACACAATTTCATTTAACCTTTTGTAAATTCAACTAGCGATATTAAGCTATTTACAAATTACATATTTTTTCTTAGAAACAACTATGTTTTTTTTTTACATCAATTGATTCCTCTCATTATTTTATGCATAAAAATATTAAGATAAGATAATCAAAAAATGGATATTTTATTAGATATTTTATGGTTTATGTAAAATTGAGAAATTATTTCAAGCCTCATAACTCGGAAAGTACTTAATAAAAACTAAATTAATTATAGTATTTTGGAAAGCTCTCGAGATAAGCTATAAGAATATGTATAAAAAAATAGGGGGTTCTGTTTAAGAAATTGATGATCTTGACGTGATCTTAACGATACTCTTCAAGTCATAGTAATATTACTGTGTAATGCGTCTCTTAAAATCCTACAATTTTTGTCTGAAATATTTTCCCACTTCTAGGACCTCTATTTTCGAAAATAATTGACCGTTTCTAGACTTTTAAACCACTCTGTATATATATGTAATGATAAAATTATATATATTCCTCAATATATTTACGTTTGCATTTAAGCGTAAATCTCTTTTCTAAATTAATTAGCTTATAAGTTATGTAAATTTATTATTTAAGATAATATTAGAATTTAATCGAAAAATTTTATTTCATTAAATTTTATTTCTATAATGGAGACAAGCTAACAAATTATAATATTGAAGTATATCCGAAAAGTTATTAATATTACCTGTGCTAGTGAGAAGACCTGTGCCAAGCCAAGGATGTAATAAGTTATACATTTTACTTTTTTCGATGTGTTTAGTGCTGCTTAGTATGATCTGAAATTACAAAAGATTGAGAGTAATAACAGATGTTAAGCATGAAATATTAGTTTATTGTATAGCATTCATTCCGAGATATTCAAATAATTTAGTTAAAATTTCTCATATTTTTTATTTTTATCTTTAATGATTTCCTCTTTTTATTTTTTGAAAAAACATTTTCTTACAGACAAAAATTTTCTTCAAATGCAAAATTTTTAAATTTAGCTATATCATAATTCATTTTCTAAAATTGAATTTCTTTTATATTTCATTACTTCCAAATCATCTGGATGACGAATAGATACAGTAGGCTTAAAGAAAGCCCAAAGTTTTACAATGGGATAATATTTGTCAAATGTGATATGCATCCATTTCCATTGTTCTTCTGAAAATATAAAAAAATATTATAAATATTGACACAATATTTTAGGTTAATTTTATTATTATTGCAAATAATCACTATATGAGCAGTCAAGTACATTGAAAACGATAATTGTGCATGAAAAGAATTTCTTTTCCGATTTGCTTTATTTTTAAATATGTTATAGGGGAGATCTTCCCGAGTAATTTCGTATATATATATTAGGAGTACAAATAAGTCTCCGCCGTTTTTTATCAAAAATTGAGCATTTATTGTGAAAGAACGGTATCTTATGTTTTATTCAAAGTATTGTCCATCGCTAGCCACTACTTTTTCCCATCTTTCTGGCAGCATACGGATACCGGGTCGGAAGAACTCTTCATCTTTGAGGCTATCCACAAATCGACCCAATTTTTGGTATCTTCATATGATGTGAAGTGCTGACAGACAGACAGGCCACGTGCCGGATCAATCGGAACAAGTGATAATCCGAAGGGGCAATGTCTGGTGAATACGGCGGGTGGAGTAGGACTTCCCAATTGAGTGTTTCCAAGTAGGTTTTGACCGGCGCCGCAACGTGGACGAGCATTATCATGCAGGAGAATAATTATGTCGTGTCTGGAGTAGTAGTGGGCGCGTTTTTCCTTGAGTGCTCGGCTCAATCTCATCAATTGTGTTCGGTAGAGAGCCCCAGTAATGATTTCGTTCGGTTTGAGCAACTCATAATACACCAAGTTTCTTATCATGAATATTCGGCTTAGCTGTCGATGTTGAAGCATGGCCACATGGTCCCCACGATTTCCTCTTCTTTGGGTTATCGTAGTGGATCCATTTTTCATCACCAGTGACTATACGATGTAAAAAACCCTTTCGTTTATGCCTGGCAAGCAGCATTTCACATGTGCAAAATCGACGTTCAATGTTTCTCGGCTTCAATTCATATGGAACCCAATTTCCTTGCTTTTGAATCATTCCCAACGATTTTAAACGATGTGAAATTGCTTGTTGAGTCACTCCTAATGTAAGTGCAAGTTCTTCTTGCATTTGGCACGAATATTCCTCCAATAATGCTTCCAATTCTGCGTCTTCGTACACTTTCGGCCTTCCGCTATGTTCTTTGTCTTCGACGTCAAACTCACCGTTCTTAAACTTATGAAACCACTCACGACAACTTCTCTCACTTAAAGCAGCCTCACCATATGCTTCTACAAGCAATTGATGCGCCTCAGCTGCAGATTTCTTCAAATTAAAGAAGTAAATCAAAAGTTCCCGTAAATGACGCTTATTCGGCTCAAAACTCGACATTTTTGCACGAAAAAAATTATGTGATGCTAATACAAAATCGCTAATATTTCAAGGTTATGGTGTTGCCAGATGTCCAACCTTATGATATGACGTTTTACATCTGATAATTTCAACCATGACTTACTGGTGAGGCCATTTTTTGTCAAACGGCGGAGACTTATTTGTACTTCTAATATATATATATATATATATATATATATATATATATACAGAGTGTCCGTCAATTTTCGACCTTGACGAAATAAGGAAGATTGACTCAAATTAAAAAGGAAAGACCTGTATGTAAAAACCAAGTGGCCATACAATTTTATGTGTTGTGCAATATTTATGTGAAACTGGGTGTCGTGCATAATATCGGGATAACTGGTCCAGCAGTGTGCCTTCGTGTACGAGATGAAGAAAGGATTCTTGAAGCATTTTATCAACGTATCATTATCAACGTGAGCAATACATTTTATCGAGGGATTTTCAATCACGGATCAATTTTTGTAAAGGTACTATCACCATCAATTTTTTACATTTAAGATACATTCAGCGTATAGTAATGGCATTTTGAATAATTTTCAAATTGAGAGTGGAATAGGCCTATGGGGGAAATCACTATAACAAAAGCGCACCATGGTATCTACCGCAAGGTGGTGTGGAAATAATAACGCATCATTTTCTCGTCACTAAAAAGACAGGCCATTTTCGGCGCGATATTGCGATATATCGCAAATCACCATCATATCTCGGAGAGCGACTGCTTTGCCGCGCTCGTAATATCAGATTACGGTGAGACGATTCTCATCGCCGCGCGGTTCTACTCACGCAGATTGGCCGATCTCCTTTATTTAATTTTTCGTTAATTATTGCGACAATCACAAAACAATAGAAGTCCTTCCTTCTTAATTTGAGCCAATCTACTTCCTTATTTCGTCAAGGTCAAAAATTGACGGACACCCTGTATAAAGGTCGGACTCAAATAGATAGATTTGGAGATATAGGCTGAAAAGGATAAAAATAATAAATTTAAAAATAATTTTAATAGAATATATGTATTTGTAACTTTGCTTCCTCTTGCAAAGTACATGCGGGAACACCGCATGTTCCGCCCTCCTTACGGAGGGGCTCCACTTTCAGAAAATATAACTTAATCTAACCAGTGTCTGAAGTGTGGAATAAATCTAGCTTGGCATAGAAAGTTATAAATTTATATAAATTACATGAACCATGTGAAGTAAAATCTCATATGTCAAGGTATTTCCTACATTTCAGACACTGGTTGGGTTGGTTTATATTTTCCGAAAGTAAAGCCTCTCTGTAAGGGGGGCGAAACATGCGGTGTCCCCGCATATACTTTGCAAGAAAAAGCAAAGTTTACAAATACATATATTCTATTAAATATATTTCCTTAAACATATAAGACATGGTAAAATTATAATATCTACATTTATTTGCGACTTTCCATGCGAATTTTTGTATTTATTATTTTTATCCTTTTTCAGCCTATATTTTCAAAACTATTTGAGTCCGACCTTTATATACAAGGTGTTTCATAAATGGTGGGTAAAATTACAGGAATGGATTCCTCATACTTAGAAAAGAAATAGTTAATCAACATAGGTCCGGAAATGATTAATTTTTGAGTTATTAAGATTTTTATAATACAAAATTTTGTTTCATTTCTCATCTTAGAAGTTCTTTTATAGGCATTAACAATGTTTTTCAAGTTCGGCGGCCTGAAAAACATTGTTGATGCCTAAAAGGATTTTTAAGACGAGAAATGACATAAAATTTTGTATTACAAAAATCTTAATAATTCAAAAACGGTAATTATGCATAAAAAGAGCCCGTCTTCACACAAATGTGTCATTGACATATGTTGTCAAGGTCATATCTCTAATTAATATTCTGAAGGTTTTAACCGACGGTCGTTATTTATTAAAAAGTTATTAACAAAAGAATTTCACAATTTTAATGCTTTTTATCCTCGAAAATATTGATTTGAGAAAAAAAATTTTAAGCAAAAAATAAAGCTGAAAAATTCTACAAAAAATGTTATATGCATTTTTTTCGTAGACCTACTATTTTAGTTGTTATATAAAAAAATTATAATTTTAAATACATTTAATACAATTTAAATTTATATAGAATTTAATATAATTTAATACAATTAAAAAATATCACAAATGTATGTACATACATACACATACACACACACATACGTGTGCGCGCGGGGGGTGCAAGAGGAGCCTTCGGCCCCCTCTCCCGCAATCACCCTGCCAGTAGGCAAGGTGGACCTCGCTTTACAACTTACAGTATATATCCATTGTGATTGAACTCTTCGCAATGCGTGTCCTACTGGCAGGGTGGTTGTGGGAGAAGGGCCGAAGGCCCACCCTTGCACCCTCCACACGCGCGCGCGTGTATGTGTACACATACATTTGTGATATTTTTTAATTGTATTAAATTGTATTAAATTCTATAAAAATTTGAATTGTTTACCTTTTTTTATTTATCTTTAATTTACTTTTTTTTGTGTTTTTCTTTGACTTACGAGTTCGATCGCTATTTTTAAGTTTCATATTCGTGTTCAGGAGGTAAAAATACGTAGAAATTAGGTATTCTTATCTATTATTTCATATGTAGATAGTTCATAGATTGGTTTTTCGAAGGTTTACCTTATATTTGTATTTATTATTTTTATCCTTTTTCAGACTATATCTCCAAAACTATTTGAGTCCGACACTTATATATATATGAAATTACTCGGGAAAATCTCTTCTATAACATATTTAAAAATGAAACAAATCGTGAACAAATAAAGTAGAATCTTTATATCAATATTTCTCACATTTATTTGTTATTAACTTTTGAATAAAGGACGACCGCCGGCTAAAACCTTCAGAATGTTAATCAGGGATAACACAGCATCTTCACAACATACGTTAATAACACATTTGTGCGAACGTGGCCTCTTTTTATGTATAATTACCTCACAAACTAATCATTTCCGGACCTATGTTGATTAACTTTTTTTTCTTCTCTAAGCATGAGGAATTCATTCCTGAAATTTTGCCCACCACTTATGAAACACCCTGTATATATATACGAAATTACGGAAAGATCTCCCCTATAACATATTTAAAAATAAAGTAAATCGGAGAGGAAGCCCCTTTTATGCACAATTACCTTGAAAACAATTTAACAATAATTAAGATTATAAATATTATTGTGAAAAGATTTAAACTGATAAGTTTGAATTATTTTAAAAATAAGAGCTTGTGAAATTTTAGATTTGATTAGTTATAAAAAGCAGAGTAGGATTTGATTTTTTGATGAAAACGAATCTGGCCGCAGCCAAGTTTTTTTAATTAATTTTTTTTTACTTTTTTGTTTTATATTAATTTTCAGTTTTCGACTTGTAAATAAATTTTTAATTTTTTAATATTATTATTTTTGAAAATTAAAACAACTATTTTGTATAATAGAGTTTTCAATTAAAATATTTCTATTTAACTTGTATAAATTTTCTTTCTTGTACTTCTATTTATCTTATACATATTTTTATTTTCTTAGTTAGTGCAATTTTTTTATATCATTATTTTTGTAGACAATACAACAGTTGTAAGTATACAGAGTATAACAAAAAAGTCGGCACTTCGGATTATCTCGAAAAATATAGGTTGTACAAAAAAATATTTTAAATAAAAGTTGTAGGGATTGAAATGATCTAT